GAGAGAGAGAGAAAGCAATTTAGATCAGGTTATTTTCCCACTGAAAACCCTTTGGACTTAATTTTTTTCTTTTTTGTATGTTGTTATGTGTGGAGTTCAGAGGTCAAGGTCAGGTTGTCCTCTTCAATAGTTTCTCCACCTTAGTTTTTTTTGAGCCAGGGTCTCTCACCTGGATCTCAATGATTTGTCTAGATTGGCTGGTCAGCAAGCCTCTCAGGGATCACCCTCTTGTCTCTGCCTCTCTGGAATTAGGATGGCAGGTATACGCCACCACACCTGGCTTTTTATATGGATGCTGGAGATCCTCAGGTCCTCTTGCTTCTGTGACAAACACTTCACTGAGCCATCTATCTCCCCAGCTTCCCCCTCCCCCCCTTTTTTTTTGAGACAGAGTCTTATGTAGCCCAGGATGGCTTCTTCTGCTACTTAATCAAGGATGACCTTGAACTCCTCATTCTCTGACCCCCATCTCCTGAGTGTTAAAATTACAGGTATGTGCCCCTAAGCCTGATTTTATGTGATGCTGGGAACTGAACCCAGGGCTTCCTGTAGTCTAAGCAAGCACTCTACCAACTGAGCTACATTTCCAATCTAGCTTTTTCATTAGAGGTCTTACTAAAGACCCCAGGTTGGCCTGAAACTTGTGATCCTCCTGCCTCAGCCTCCCAAGCGCTGGGATTTATATGAGCATGCTATCAAGCTTGGATGAGCAAGGTCCTCTTGGCCTGTGGGGCTCACTACCTTTGCTTGCTTCGGAAAGTTACAATGCAGCAAGGCTGGGCAGTTTACTAGTGTGGGTACCGACTGGCTCTCTGAATATATTCAATGAAATCAGAGCTAGAGGGCAGGCCCAGAGGTCAGGGAGACTTTATCATTATGCTCTGAGCTGGCAGGAAGCAAAAGAGAAAGTCCATGTTGGCCGCTATGATTGCATCATTTCTGTCCTCTCCAAAGTCAGGCAGAGAGTAGATAATTTTTCCAAGGAAATTGGCTCTATATGCTCAAAGACAGAAAAAAAATGATAGAGTAGTTCAGTCAAAGGTACAGCCCTTAAAATATCCCCAGATTTGCTGGGGATTTTCTCTGCAGACATTTCTCCTACTTTCATGCCTACATTGTATTACTAAGCTATTGCTCCATTATTTATTTTTTTCTGTCCTCATGTTCTGAAACACTGTGGTGCTGTGTTCAAAAGGTCATTGTGAATCACAGCCTTCTGAAAATTAATGGGTGTCAGCAGGGTTAGGAGTTGGGTGGAGATGCTAATTAGAAATATATATATATACATATATATATATATATTTTTTTTGAGACAGGGTCTCAAGTAACCCAGGCTGGTCGAGGATGATCTTGACCTCTCAATCCTCCTTCCTTTACTTCCCAAGTTCTAGGATTGCATTTATGCCCACCCTGTCAGCTTAGAAATTAATTTTACTAGGTTTTCACTTAATTCTTGTTTTATACATTCCATTGTATAGACATTGTTTTGAAAAAAAGTTAAAGGAAAATGCCTTTAGAAGTATTATCATGAATGCCCTAGTAAAACAATATTATTTAAAGAAATTCTAGCTATCAAAAATTTAAAAAGTAAAACTAGTAATTCTTTTAAAGTGAAAAATAATTTTCTGGGTTATACTTAGATTTATTTTTCAACATTGTAACTTGGGATGCCTTGGAATTCAGTATGTATAGGCTGCTTGAACTTGTGGCAATCCTACTGCCTCAGCCTCCTGAGTGCTGGCGTTACAGATGTGAACCACCACACTTAGCATAAAATTTTGAACACTTATACATTTTTTTAACCATGTACGATTGGGAAGTAAGTGATGTAATGTGCTCAGTCTTAGACTGTGGTTTGGGGGCGGGGGTGTAAAAGAGAAGTAGAAAAACAAGCATCAAGAAGCTACCTGTATGTCCTCAAGGGGCTCTGAGCGCCCTCCTGGGCCTTCCCAGTGTTTCTATCTCAAGTCCCGAAGGATCTGGGTGGGTTGGTAAGGATAAGAAGCTCCGCAAAGAAAACCTTCCACCACTGGGGAGGGAAGGAACAACAAGCCACTCCTGACTGCTCCGGAGAAGCCAGGCTCCAAGCACAACCATCCCCAGGACCCGGAAAACAGGTCTATTAATATGTCTAGTTCTCAGCTGAGAAACGGAGTCACGGGAGATTCATTTGCCCCTGGTCCTCCACCAGAAAATGAAGAGCTGGTACTCTGATGGTAGTCTTAAGGGAAGCCAAGTCATATACCTCAACTTTGCTGAAACCGATCAGCAAAACGCTCACCTTTTAGGCTGCCTGGGGCCAGCCTGGGAAGCAGGTGGCTTATCAACACCTCTAGAGATAAGGAACTGCTGTGCCGGGAGGCGTGTGGGAGTTCAAGGTGCGCTCCCTGGGTGCGAGCTGGAGATGCGAGCGGTTACCGCTGGCTGGCTGCAGCTGCCAACCTGCGCTCTGGAGCCCAAGAGCGAGAGGGCACCGCCGGGTAGACAGAGCCGCAGCCGGCGCGGGCCACGTGGCCCAGGCTGCACGCTCGGGAGCTGGGATGGGGCTTTCCGGGAGGAGTGCGCCTGCGCGGGTGGGCGGGGCGAGGGCGCGGCGTGAGCAGAGCAGAGCGTGTTAAAGGTGCGGCGGCGCGGCTTTCACTGCGCAGGCGTCCACTGCTCTCCTTGTCAGCCGGCTCGTGTGCGGACTCTGAGGCTGTGTGCGGCGGCGGGTCTTCGGCATCATGAGCCGCTTCAGCAGCGAGGAGCGCTCGGCGCCTTTCACCCTCGAGTACCGCGTCTTTCTCAGTGAGTGTCGGCGGCCCGCGGAGCTTCCGGGCTAGGCCGCCCATTCATTCCGGGCCTCGGCGGCGGGGATCCCCCAAGGGTCCCCTTCCCTCAGGCGGGCGGCGGGCCTCCGCCGTCCTTCGTTCTCCACTGGCGCTTGCCTTCCGCGGGACGAGAACCCGGACCGGCTGGGAAAAGAAACCTGAGTCACCCTCGAAAGGTGCCTGGAGGTGACGCGGTCCCCATAAGAGGATTGCGCTGCCAGGGCGGCGACTTCCGGGAGACCTTAATTGCACTGCCTTAATTCTGAGCGTCCTAGAGAGCAGGGGGACTGACCTCCCCGTCGATCTAGGGATGGGGAAACTGAGGCCCAGGTCCGCTGCGTCCAGCCCCTTGAGCCTCCTTGTAGCCCCGGTGCTGGGAACGAATGTTCCTTATGAAGCGGAAAGCAAGCGTGGCCTCCCCCAGCGGGCAGGAGACGTGCACCTGAGAAGCACGGGGGAGAAATGAGCTGTGCCCTGGTGCGGGGGACGGCGCCCGGTGGTGCTTGCTGTCCCCGTCCTGCACTCAGACGCCGGGAGTGCATTGCCTGCATATGTGTAAGTGTACCTTTGTCGAGCAGTGCCAGTGGAGGTCAGAAGAAGGTGTCACATCCCCTGGAACTGAAGTTATGCATGGTTATTAACCATTATGTGGGTGATGGGACTCAAACTGGGGTCCTCTGCAAGAGCAGCCCGTGCTCTTAACCACTGAGCCATCTCTCCATCTCCAGAAAGTGAACTCTTAAGCTTAAGTATCTAGTTGAACATTAAACCACTGAGCAAAATCTAGGAAGGGTCAGAATCTTCATTTAATTAGTTGCAGAATTAAGCAGTAAGGGCAGCATGTAGGAACCATTTAAGATTTGTTTGTGTGAGTGCCTGCCTGACACGTGTGTGCAGGTGGCCTTGGAGGCCAGAAGAGGGTGTTAGATCCCCTGGAGCTGGAGTTAGCAGTTGTGAGCTGCTTGACATGGATGTTGGAAACCAAACTCAGCAGCTTCTGGAAGAGCAGCCATGGCTCTTAACCCCTGAGCCATTTCTTTGCTTCCTAAACATTTTGGCTGTTTTTCTGGAAATAGTGTTGGCTCCAGAATTTTTCTATCAGTGCCTTAGAGAACTGACTGAATTGAAGACTTGTGGATCATGTGGGAATGCTTTAAGCTATATATGCAGACCAAATGTATGGTTTTTACTTAGATGATGTATTGGCAGTATTTGATGGCAGTTAGTAGAAACCAAAGCCACTCCTTGACTTTGGCCTAGGCTAAAGTAACTATCAAACTGACTGTCTGGAATGTAAGAAATACCAGTAATTAGAATCCTAGTTCTAAGTGCTTTTTAACAGTGATTTTTTGTTTTGTTTTGTTTTGTTTTTTAGTATTGCTCCTTTTTTTCTTTTTCTTTGGAGAGGTGGAATGAGGTTATAGTAGCTCAGGTTGACTTCAAACTTGAGATCCTCCTGCCTCAACCTCTCAAATGCTGGAATTTATTTATTTAGTTCTGGGGCACCACACCTGGCAGGATCCATCCTTAGTACAAGTAACTTTCCCCCCTTCATAGTGCTACTTTTGTCTCTTTAAAACTGATAAAAGTTGGGACTGGAGAGTTGGCTTATGGATTAAGAGCACTGGTTGCTCTTCCAGATGACCCAGGTTCAGTTCCCAGCACCCACATGGCGGCTAACAACTGTCTGTAACTCCAGTTCCATGGGATCCGATGCCCTCTTCTGACCTCCTCAGGCATTGCAGGACACAGGTACATGTACATACATGCAGGCAATACACTCAATACACATAAAACAAAACAAAACTCTGATAAAAGTCTTAATTTGGGTCAAGGACAGGTAGGAGTGCAACCCTACACAAAATCATAAACTTAAAATGTTAAGAAATTATTTTACAAATTTTTTGTTTGTAACTTGATTTCAAGATTCTCAAGTGTGAACTCTGTAGGTGACAGCTGTTGGAGATGCCAGGTAATAGAAGGCAAAGTCACAACTGACTCTGAAAGGACCCTTACAAACTTGGAGACAATGGCCGTTCAAGTCCTGCTTTGATGTTTAAATTTGAAGGGATTTAATGATGTAAACGGATTTAGCTTTCTTAATAGACTATGAGGAAGGACTTTGTTGTTTGCTGTGCTAGGGATGGGCTGTATTACTGAGCTACATTCTGAGCTCTATGGAAGTTTTAAAATCACTTTTTTTTTTAAAGCATGTATCGTTTATTTCTGGGAATGAATATTTAATATTTTGGATTACAGCACATTGTAGGTAAATAATATGTCAGTATTCTAAACCATGGATAATGGGGTGTTACTATTTTACAAGGTATTTGAAAGACTAATCTGAAAATCTATGTATGTAGTCTTTTTTTCAGTTCTAATACCAAACTTAGGGCCTGGTACATGCTAGGCAAGCACTCTATAACTGAGCTATGTCTTTAGCCTGCAAAGTTAGGCCTATAACTCATATTTGTAAAGCATTATGCCCCTTTTTAAGAGAAAGAATCTATGACATACTTGAGAGCTTCCATCATTCTTGTCTCCAAAATCAATAGCACTCTTCCAGGTTTGTCTGCCACCTTAGGATGGACACTGGCCCTCTTAAACTACAGTTGCACCACTTTCCAAATGCTTCAGTTGATTTCTAGGAGCAAGAAACCTGTTAGGCTCTCTTTCACATGTTGGAGTCTTAGATAAACCAGGTCTTACACTCAGGATATCTTTTGTATTGTTCCAGTGAAGAGCAGGTGTCAGTGACACTAATCTCTTTAATAATTAGAGCCTCCTTTTCAGCACATGACTAAGCTGCAATCTTTTTTTTTTTTTTTTTGTCTTTTTGAGACAGGGTCTCCCTGTAGCCCCAGCTGTCCTGGAACTCACTATGTAGACCAGGCTGGCCTTGAACTCACAAAGATCCGCCTGCGTGCTGGGATTAAAGGTGTGTGCCACCACACCCCGGCTTAGGCTGCAATTTTAAGCTTACTAGGAATATGTTCCTTTTCAATCTAAGTATTTTTTGTCCCTTTTGTTGTTTTTTGTCATTATACTGCACATGTAAGTGTGATCATTAACTGCCATGGCATAGACTCAATATTATGCTGTCTTAAAATTTGCTATGCCAAAGAAATTAGTCCATTGATTTTTAATTCAGCCTCAGAAACGTTCTAAGGACATGGGCAAAATGAAGATGAATTCTTTGCCAAAATATCGCAGGAATGTCCTTGAGCCCAATTGCTAATGTTGTTGTAGTCTGTAACATCATGAACTGTTTCTCCACCATTCTTTTTAATCCCAGCACTTCTAAGATCTCACTAGAACATCCAATTAACCTTTGGATACAGTATTAAATACCTTTTTCAGCCTGAATTTCCAAGCCACTTAATGATCACAACAACATCCCACTTTGTCAGCTATCAGTTTCAGCATTCCTTACTTTCCTGTTGCTGTGACAAAATACCATGACAGACAACTTAGAGAAAAGGATTTAAGTTGGCTTACAGTTTCAGAGGAGTAGAGTCCATAGCAGTGAGAAAGTCAAGGCTCTAGGAGCAGGAACGTGAGTGATCACATTTTCATTCCCACACAAGAAACAGAGAGAATAGCAACTAAGGTAAGGCTTTAAAACCTCAAAGCAATCCCCCCCCCTTTTTTATTTCTATCTTTTGATGCAGGGTCTCAAGTGGCTTAGGCTAGCTTCAAACTCACTGTGTAGCTAAGGATGACCTTGAACCTCTGATCTTCCTGTCTGTGTCCCAAATGCTAGGAGCATTCGAATGCATTACCATAAGCAGCTAAAATTACTTTTCAGATATGATAGTTGGGTTTCTAGAATATAGAAGTTTCTTGTGAAGGAATCATTGCATCTTGATTATTCTTAAGGCAAGTCAGGGTAGCTCTGAACATCACTTAAAACAGCATGGATTTCTAATTTAGCAAGTTGGTCTTATCCCTCTGTGGGTATTTCACAAAAAGTTTGGTAAACAGTTAACTGTAATAAGTGAAAGCAGTTTGATCTTTTGTATACTAAGTGCTACAAGGCTTGGGGGATACTAGGTAGTCCTTGCTCTCATAATAGGGAATAACACCCAGCACATACCTATAGAGTGCATAGGATGAAAACCTGGTTTTGGCCAAAAGTTGGAAAAGGCAAAATAAGCAACTAGCTTTTGGCTTACTGATTGGTTGATATTTTTGAGACAGGAACTCTTGTAGCTTAGGTTGGCTTCAGCCTTACTGTATGGACAGGTATGACCTTGAACTCCTGATCCTCCTGCTTCCAACTCCCAAGTGCTGGGATTGTACAAGTATAGTTACCAAGCCCAGCTGGAAGGTGGTTTCCTTCTTTTTTTTTCCCTCCGATATGGGGATTGAACTTCAAGCCTTGCACATGCTATGCAGTTGCTCTGTTACTGAGCTATATTCTTTGTTTTTGTTTGTTTTGGTATAGGAATCAAATCTTGGTATTCAAAAATGTCTACTTCATGCATTTGAAAATTTAATTAATCACAACAGCTTTTCTACTTTAATTTGCAGAAAATGAAAAAGGGCAATATATTTCTCCATTCCACGATATTCCAATGTATGCAGATAAGGTAAGGAATGCCTGTCTTTTGAATGTGATCTCTTTACTCAGATCAGCTAGCTGTACAGAACAGATTTTCTTTTATGTCTCTCAGTTGGTATTTAAAATGCCTCTTTGTGCTGGCAGTTAAAGGTTCATAAAGTAAATAAGTCAGTGTTAAACCGGACCATTGCATTAAAGAGGCAGCTGTGAGCTGGGGAAGCAGTGGAAGCAGAAGTGTGTAAGCTGTCTTGTTGAGAGGAAAAAAAATCACATTGGTTTCTTCTGTATGTGTGTTTGGGACTAAGATCTTAGTACTTCATTAGTGTTTTTTTAAATAAACCAGGTAACTAGCACAGAATGTTGACTGCAGGATGATTATTAAACAGTAAAAAATAAACTGGAATATTCAGTTTATACAAGAAAATTCAGTGGTTTTTTTTTTTTTTTTTTTTTTTTTCTTGGTCTTTTTGACAGGGTTTCCCTGTAGCCCCAGCTGTCCTGGAACTCACTATGTAGACCAGGCTGGCCTTGAACTCACAGAGATCCACCTGCCTCTGCCTCCCGAGTGCTAGGATTAAAGGCATGCGCCACCACGCCCGGCTCAAAATTCAGTACTTTTAATAGGCTAGAAGATGGAAATTTGCAGATTTCTAAAAAGAAATGTGTATTCCTTACACACTAGTGAAACGAAGGAATCTAACTTTTAGCACAGATGGGTAGGTTTACCACAAATTAGTAAGGATCTTTATTTTTCTAGGAAAAAAGTCTACAAACTCTCTCTCTCTCTCTCTCTCTCTCTCTCTCTCTCTCTCTCT